TAAGCCATACACCTTAGTGATTTTTTTTAAAACTAAGATAATTCAAATAGCTAGGTGGTGGTGGCATACATGTTTAACATGTTTAATCCCAGCACTGGGGAGGTAGAGGCAGGTGGATCTCTGTGAGTTTGAGGCTAGCCTGGAATACACAGAGAAATCAGGGGGTGGGGTGGGGTGGGTGGGTAGAGAAGCCATCCCCCTACCACACACATACCTTTTGAGACAGGGTCTCACTTTATTGGGCTGGCTGTCCTGAAACACACCCTATAGATGAGGCTGGCCTCAAACTCAGAGATCTACCTGCCTCTGCCTCCCAAGTGCTAGGATTTAAGGCCTACCACACCTGGGCAAATATTCCCATCTTTAACAGATGAAAACACCAACAAGTAATTCTACTAATCCATTTCCCCCTTCAACCCAAAAGGCTTTCTTCCCCTCCGACCCCACAAAACAATGTGGATGGAACAGAAAAGAAAATAAAGTCAACAGAGTCAGGTATTGTAGTGCATCCTATAATACTGGTACTCAGGAGACTGAGGCAGGGGGATTGTCATGAGAATAAGGCCTTATATTTAAAACATGAAATCAAAAGCAAACTTTCTCAACAGCTCATTTTGTATTCTGGGAAGAACATGGACTGCTAAATGAGGCGAGATGGATGGTGTATGTGTTCTAATTGGTTGTCAACTTTCTCTGTCCCCAACTGCCTTGTTCTCCTGTACATGGAGATAGATGATGGCGCTCTTAGAGGGAAGGACCACACTTTAGTTCACACTGTGGACTCCTGACTAAACGGTTTTAACTTACATGAAGTTCTGCCATGAGGCCTATCCCCAGGTAACCAATGGTCTGTAAGAGAAGTGCACCCTACACCGTGGTTCCCTTTCCTTCACTTTCCCTTGGCCGGTTTGCTCACACAGCACCCTCCAGTCCTTCACTGTGAACAGTAACTAGTCCTGTCCCGAATTAGTGATATGCTGTCGTCAAGATGCAGGGACAGACTGAAGCAGGGCCGAGATTCTGGGGTGAGCTAGGGCAGGAGAACAGGCAAAAATGACAAAAGCCAGAAGCCACCCAGTCTAGACCCCAGACTGTTAAATCTTTTCCTTTTCATCCAGTCCATAAGCAACAACTACCCCATCTTTAGCATATTTTAAAGTTAATCCAAGTAGAACCTGAAACTTAAGAAGTTGCGAACACGTGTACAGATTTGACAGTTCTAGTTTCAAATCACAAGTAAACTGTTACTTATCACGCCTCAGGTCATCTTAAGCTTTTAGATTTTAAAAACTGCCAGTTTAGCAGAGTAGCTCATGTTTACAAATCCCGGCACTTGAGAGAGCAGGCCAAGAAGACAGCCAGCATAAAGGCCAAACATTTATTACTACACAGTGAGTTCTAAGCTAGTGTGGGCTCAAGTGTCTAAAAATTAACTCTGATGAATTAGATAGCTCACTTAAGTACTCATCATGCAGAAATTATACATATTAATTTAACTTAATAACATAGCTACTCACCCTGGGTAAATAAAAATGTCAAGCACAAGTATTAAACTGTTTTTAGTTTTAAAACATTTATTGGGGGTATTTATTAGGGGGTATTGTCACCTTAAAGGAGTTAGTTCTCTCTTCCTACAACATGGATCCTGGGGGTAGGGGGCAGGCAACACCTTTACCACTGAGCTGATCTCAGCAGTCCCGAACTATTTTGGATATTTATTCAATAATCTTATGCATCAAAAACTCACGTCAAGAAATGCTCAAGTTGGCCAGGAAGTGGTGGGCACACCTTAATCCTGACACTCGGGAGGCAGAGGCAGGTAGGTCTCTGTGAGTTCGAGGCCAGCCTGTCTACAAAGCAAGTTCCAAGACTGCCAGGGCTACAGAGAAACCCTGTCTTCCAAAACCAAAAAGAAAAGAGAAAAGCTTAAGCTGAAGAACTGCTGGAGGAGATGGCAGGGCTTGCAGTCCGTCATGGTGGCCTCGGGTAGGTTCTCACACAGAAAGCAAGCTGACCAGTAACATACCACCTTCGGGCAGCGGGGCCGACTCTGCTACCGCCACCAGAGCAGCCCGCTCTGCCCCTCAGCAGGCATTTGCCAGGACAGTCTCTGGAGCTGGTGCTTGACTCTAGGTGAAAGGTTAACAGACCCTGGCTCCTCTTCAAAGAAAGTCCCAGCTGCAACCAGCAGACTAAAGCCAGCCTTCCCTGGCCTCTGACACCCAGGTTGTTGAGAAGTAACCATACACAAGAACCCAGACTACAAATATTTCTTTTCTTTCTCCGTATGTTTGGTATCTCATATAGTGCACAGATATACATAAGGACAAAACACTCATACATGTGAAATAAAATAATAAAAATAAAAGAATCAATTTTTTCTTTTTTAAAAAAGGACATAAAGTTAAAAGAAATGATAAATAAAAAGCTGGGTGTGGAGGTGCATACCTTTAATCCCACCATTCAGGAGGCAAAACCAGAGCTCTCTTATTTCCAGGCCAGCCCGGGTTACACATCTGTTACAAGCCCTGTCTGGAAACAACACAAACAAACAAACAAACAAACAAACAAACAAACAAACAAACAAGCAAACAAACAAACGCAGGCCCCTCATAGTCACACTAAAAGTACTTTACTCACTGAGCCATCTGTCTGCAGCCCAAATCGGAAAGAATTTCAAGCCAGCATAAATACTACATAACACTACCACATTCTTTAATGCAGCTAAAAGCAGAGGACTGAGTTTAACACCAGCATCTTCCACAGTGTACGCTAGCCACACATAAAAATAAAGATGTAAAAAGGAAAGTGGGGCCGGGCGGCGGTGGTGCACACCTTTGATCTCAGCACTCAGAAGGCAGAGGCAGGTGGATCTCTGAGTTTGAGGCCAGCCTGGTCTACATGGAGAGTTTCAGGAAAGCCAGGACTACACAGAGAAACCTGTCTCGAAAAACCAGAAACAATACCACCACCAAGTGGGTTATTCTATAAAAAGAACCTAATAAAGAGTATCAACTTGAGAGTTGATGCTGGAGCAGGTGGTAAGTTACAGTTCATCCTCCATTCTAGAAGACTCGGGCACATTTCTCCTTAGCTAAGACTCTAAGACTCAACTGTATTTAAGAACACAGAGAAGCAAGTGAACTCCACAGGCATGGAAGCAGCAACTGACAGCATGTGCTTGCGTTTGCATGGCCCCAGGGTCAGAAACAAGAGGGGCAGTTTGTATGTCTTTGGCAGAGATAAAACGTAAGTAACCCACTGTAGCGAACTTTGGGTTTGAAGGCGGCAAGAGTAAACCCCAGCAGCTGGCAGCTTGCTTTCTCTGCTCTACTCTAACGCAGAAGCCCACTTGGTTCTTCTCCCCACCCCTCAGTTACACTCCAGCTCTGACTGCACAGGTCTGGAACAGATTAAAAGTCAGGCCACAAATAAAAAGCTCTGGCATGTAGTCAAGCCTGTCTGGAATACACACAGAGCGGGGCCCAAAAAGGGAAAAGAAAGGAAGGGAGGGAGGCAGGAGACTTTTGTTGCCATCTCTACGGTGTGTGCACATGCATGTGTGCTGGGGGGTAAATGGTTTTTTTTCCCCACCTCAAATATCCGCTCTTTCTTAGAAGACTCAGCTGTAGGTACTATCACCAGATAAACTAAACTAACAGACAAATTTCTCTCCTACACTGCTAATGCTTTTCCCGATTTCTTTTCTTTCAACAACATACACGTCAAACACACACACACACACACACACACTGTGTTAAAAGTTGGAAGCAGCGGCACAACCTGATTCTTCCAAACTCCCCAAGGGCAGGTGAACTGAATCATCAAATCTGATTACGGAAATGTGGCTGTTATTATCCAGCATTTAAGGGGTTTTCAACCACAAGGACTATTCAAATATTAAAAAGAACCTGAAGTTGCAAACTGCTAACATGTATATTACTTTCTTAACACAACAGGTTTGAAAGCTTTGAGCAGCTGGTATTTGAGCCAAACTGGCTGTCAAAATAACCGTCTAGGCTGCAACCCCAGCTCTGACTTTCCTTGGGGGTTGGGGTGGGGCAACCAGTCCATAAAGTCGACATTGGAGGCACACCCCAACACTGCTTTTTATTGTTTGTTGTCTGTTTCCTAGTAAACAGATGGGGGGAGGCTGTATTGGAGGCTCCATGTTTTTACCCAGCTCCAGGGTTGTGTTTTGATGGTGTTCACAGAGTTAATTCTCCTTTCCAGTAAGGCCTGTGGTGTGGCCAGGTCAGCCCCTGGGAAGCTTCAAAGGCCCCGCCCGCGTGTCTGACTGCACTGATCCACACACTGTTTCCATTAAGCAGCATGGGGCCAAGATGAATGCTCAAACCACATTATCTGTTCCTTTTTAGATTCATTTTCCATGCTTTGTAAAGATTCAGAAAGCCAAGAGACAAAATACTACCAGGAAAGAAATATGGACAAAAAGCCAGTAAACAGGCACAAAGACCCTTACAAAACATGCACATTTGGGAGGAGGGCTCTGTTTTGCCTTTCATATCCTAAGTAAAAGTGAAGGAAAGGACCTTAACATAAAACTAGGTCAAAAAATTCCCAAACAGTTGTGAAATGCTTTCCTTCCACTTCATCTGGTGCTTGGGGTATGTCCCCACCTTCAGCCCTGATGGTTCAGCCAAGCACTAGCAGGAGCATCTCAAGGGAAACTGAGACTGCAGGTCGTAGACAAGCCTGAGCAGTGTGGCCTGTTTCCAAGAAGATCACCGTTCTGAACGAAGCAGCAGAGACTATGGCCCTGAGCTTCCACAGCATTCACCACCAACCCAGGCTAGAACGCTGCTGCTTTGGACCTGGATTTCTCAAGTTTAAACAAAATACATAGCGTAAGAAAAGGCTGGGTGTGCAGCCACTGCTCACCACAAGGCAATGCAGTTTCACTGAGATGTGTTTTCTTACACCCCCAGCCCGCATACTATCATCAAAATGACCGCAAAGGTTCTGAGGTAAACCTTTACCAAAACGAGGGTCAAGCCTTGGGTCCAGCCAGGACGTGGTCTTGTTCTTATGGTTTATGTAGTAAACGTCTCCATCCTGAGTCATGGCTTGCTCCCATCCATCGGGAAGAGGTCCTATAACACAGAGAACAGACTATGGTTGGTTTTGAGCTGGTGTACCTTAAGAAGCTGAGCAGTGCTCATTTAAAAAGAACACACACAATTAGAGATAAAGCAATGCATTAAATAGACTGCAGCCTATGTCCAGAGAAAATAAGGCAGGCCAACATACCTGATTCTCCTCCATGAAAACCAAACTTAAAAAATAAAGCCAGCACCCTAAGACATAGATGAGAACTTTAGTGGTCAGATTAGAAGCACATTTCAACTGACACAGCCTGCTCCATTTAGATCCATTATATGCAACTAACTTAGAGCAAGCAATCCAGAATACAGAGTATGACAGTCGAAGACATTCAAGTTTGTTGTAAAGCAGAACAGAGACTGCTGGCATGAGAGGACTGCGGCTGAAGGTCTGTCTGTTGGGAGGGTGGGAGGGGGCTAGGACATGCGACACCTGTTGGGAGGTAAAAAGATTTTCCTAATTTCATGAGCGTAAGGAAGCGTCTGCAAAGTAACTAATGAAAAGAGGCGCAGAATAAAATTATGGAACCACCGAACCACCCACTAGACAGACAGAACTCTCAAACCTTTAGGTTCAACTCTAAGATATTTTTGAAAAAATGCACAAGGCGTTTAAAAGTTGAAAGGTAGACAGTGGTGGCGCACACCTTTAATCCCAGCACTTAGCAGGCAGATCTCTGTGGGATGCGGGTAGCCTGGTCTACAGAGTGAGTTCCAGGACAGCCAGGACAGACAGAGAAACCCTGTCTTGAAAAACTGAACAAAGTTCAAAGTCCTAAGATACTGTGTCTGACAGACTGGCAGTGGCCACTAGATGCCTCAGAGTCACAACTGGACACTCCCAGGAGACTTCCATACTCTCACTCGGTTGCTTAGCAACACCATTCTGCACCTTAGCCATCATGGTCAGAACCATCAGTGATATCTGGACTTCCCCCATGTTCTCCCTAGCCCATCTGGGCCAAGGGAAAGCAAGAGGCCATGAATGCCATTTCCACCGTGTAAAATGATGCTGCCACATTTAAAGCCACACTGTGGCTCCACCTGCTCGGTCCTGTTCTTGTCCCCACATACAGATGAACGACCAGGCATGTCTAAGGTAGGCCTGGAACTCAAACACTTCTGTTTCCCGGAGCTATAAATCTACTGCCCTAAACTTTTGTCAGTGTTCCTGATTATAAGAAATCTATCAAGCTTTAATAGCATTTATTTCACTAAGAATGGTAGACCCACAAGAACTAAATCCAAGTGGGCCAGGCATTGTCTGTCTGTCTGTCTGTCTGTCTGTCTGTCTGTCTCTCTCTCTCTCTCTCTCTCTCTCTCTCTCACACACACACACACACACACACACACACACACACACACACACACACACACACACACACACACACCTGTAATCTCAATTATTCAGGAGACTGAGGCAAGCTCACACAATCAAAAGTTCAAGGCCAGCACTAATTCAACCTCATCTTTAAAACTGTTTTAAAGGGTTAGCAATGTAAGTCAATGGGTGAGAGCTTGCCTAGAATGTGTGAGATCCTGGGTTTGATTTCTAGTTCTGGAAAAGGCATTAGTTCAGAACGTTTTCCACTAATAACAGTCTTGTCTATCATTAAATAACTGAAGAAAAACAGTGAAACTTAAGTAACAGACTGACTAATGAAGGCAACAGGCCAAGTGAGAATCAAGAGGGCACTCGCTGGATCTTCTCTTTATGGTAATTAAAATTAAACAATGTACTTACTCAAAGATTATGCTAACAACCTTATAAACACTCAATATCAAAATACAACCATGAAGCTGGGCAGCAGTAGTGCACGCCTTTAATCCCAGCACTTGGGAGAAAGAGGCAGGCTGATCTCTGAGTTCGTGGTCAGCCTGGTCTACAAAACTAGTTCCAGGATAGCCAAGGCCTGTCTCAAAAAAAAAAAAAGTAACTGCAAACTACCTATTCATCTGTGTCTTTAACATTTCCTGTATATTGTGTATAAACAGAATGTTACAGAAAGAAATCTCAATAAACAAAAGAAAGACGAAAGAAAAAGAAGAAAGAAAGAAAGAAGGAAGGAAGGAAGGAAGGAAGGAAGGAAGGAAGGAAGGAAGGAAGGAAGGTAGGTAGGTAAGTTATGTGGACACAGGCAACAGTAAGAGGTCTTCCTTCTGAGAGCGCGAGCAGGAGATCAGGGAGGTGCCCCCAACAACCCTGCATGCCATTTAACCTTTAATAGTAGAATTAAGGAGAGGGAGCTGGAAAAGGAAGGTCTGGGCTACAGCTCCAGTCAGGTGCTCAGTACATGCTAGGCAATTTGATGTCCCAGAGCGTTAGTCGGTCAGCAATCAATCAATCAATCAATCAATCAATCTGTAGAACGCTGAAAAGAAAGATCTTTAACTATAGTCAAAATTTAGTAAAACAATATAAATCTAGGCTTCATCAGACATGGTCCTGAGGAGGAATTTGGTAACTTAACATTTTTCTTTTCTTTTTTGTTTTTGTTCTTGTTTTTTTGGGACAAGGTCTCCATCATCTCAATTCACATCCTCAGGCCAGGCCTTCGGGAATATAAGAGATGGTGTTTTTTCAAAACTAGACTACCATGCTGGATCCCGACACCAAAGCTTTTTGGGCAAGGCTATAAAGATTGAAGGGAAAACAAAAACAAACAGCAACCCTTGCAGGGTAAAAAGAGGCCAACAGTTTAAATGAGACGTGAAGAGGGTGAAAAACTGGAATCAGAATAAGATTAATTTAAAAATAACTCAAAATTTAGATGTATCCTTAGGAAAATACAATTTTATGTAGGATTTGCCAATACTGTTTGATTGCTAATTTATCTACTAGAACAATATTTTAAACAAGTAAGATGCACTGTAACCCTAGAGATGATTCAACTTCATGCACTTGCCTGTATGCTCTTGCCTCAGTAACGATTAAGGAAAATCATCTACAACCTGTACTCAAACAGGAAACTTCACTGTCGCCTGGTCAGACCAAGCCCTCCCCCTCACCTGCCCGAGACAGAGGGGTCATGATCAGGGAGGACACTGAGTGGCCAGCACACACCCTAGTGAGTGCATGAAGTACAGGGCTTTCAAGGAGTTTCTCAAAAAGCAGACTCAATGACCTCCTAAAAGAAGCAACCTAAAATGCGGGCCACTCTCAAGTGAGTACAAACTGTTGTCACTACACAGCAGGCAGAATTCTGCACTCTCTGCAAACAAGTATGAACTCATTTAAAAACCTCACAAAGTGGACTCCACCACAAAACAGATGAAAAAACTAAGGCGAAGTTATTGGGCCTAAGTTAAGAAGTGGCAGATCTGGGATAAACCCAGTCACACTCTTCAGAACATCAGGCTTGACCAATAGCAAATTTCCTCCTCCTGAAACTTGTAAAAGTCTCAGGACATTCTGTGTTATGTAGACCATTTTCCCCTTAAAAGCCTTGCACAAGTTAACACTAGTCCCTCTCCAACAGCTATGCTCTGTTAACACTTTATAAGGCATGTCGCTGTGTTCAGAATGGGTCTTATGCGTGCACGCATGCACATACACAAAACCCTTTACCTCAGCTTCTGAAATAGTGTCATTTTTGTGTGCAAGCTTAGATACCTGATTCTAAAACAATCGTAAATATACAGATCGAACCTGCTTTAGTAAACTGTCAGGATACTCCCCACCCCAACAAAGTCTCAAGAAAATTCTTACATCAAGCCACTAGAACATGTTGGTGTGCCCCAAACTCCTTCCTAGACCACAATGGGCAGTGTGGTAGACAATACTTGGGACCACATACCTGAAGACTTGGAGTGGAATCCCAGTGCTTCCCAGAGTCCTGCACACTGTGTGTCCTGAGCCCTGGAGCTTACAACTTGGCTTATTTTGACTCAAAATTTATTAGCTTTCTAATCCTGGGCAAACTCTAGTGATACTTCCTCTCCGTGTCTACGGAATGGAGATGAACACTCACAATTAAAGAAGAAAGTTCCACATGGAATGCTTACAGTAGGTGTTCTTGAACAAATAGTTCTGCCTCTGGAAGAGCAACGAGTGCTCTTAACCACTGGCCATGCATGTCTCCAGCCCAGGAGCTATGTTTTTAATGGAATTCTAAAAATTTTCAGAACAAGGCTCAGAAGCCCCTCACACTAAGGTATCCAGAGAGTGTCTTCTGTTTGTTCCCACTCTCTCTACCACTGTTAATGCTAAGTTTCAGGTCTCAGTAGGTGCCCACACACCTCCATCTTTCCTTCCCTTCACTAACTACTGTTCAGTAGGTCAAAAACACCGCCACTCTCTCACCACTCCAGTTACATTCCAGCCATCCTGGAAGCTCCAAATACTCTCTGATTTCCTGTTTGTTAAATGAACAAATTCAGATCATATACCCTCTCTCTTCAGAACCTAAAAGGACCTAAATGGTTCACTTACTAACTAGCTTTGACTTCCCAAAACCTGGCTCAAGACCACCGAGTGGGCCATTGTGCTCTGCATGGATTCTTCCCCTTCCCCAGATATGCTCAGGCCCCTCCTTGAGTCCACCCAGGCCCCAGCTCCACAGAGTTACAGGAGCTCCAGTGGAAAAGCCATGCAAGACGCCATCTCCCTTCAGTCAACTTGTAACTGGTCTACCTTCCCCTTTCCATTTTAACTATAGGAAACACAACCTGTGTTTAGAACTGTCTCATGATTTAAACAGTGGCTGGCATGCAGGAAGGGCTGAGTATGGGCTGAGGGTAGAGTGCTTCCCTGTTGCCAGCTTCCTGTGTCCCACCTTCAGGCTCGGCAAGGGACAGAGACATCCACATAGCACTCCCTGCTGAGACTTTGTTATAGAAAACACAACATTTCACATCTGTAGAATGAATGATTTTGGCAACATCTAGTCTCAAAGTAAAACAGTGACCACTGTCACAACTTACCCCTGCTTATCACATTAAAATCCCTAGAATGCCACATGTACTCAGAGAACCTGGAACAGGCCACTCTC